TGTCCCTAGGTAACAGGCGCCCTCTCTGGTTACGTAGCAACAGAGGACCCCCCGCCCCACTAGGTAACAAGTCTCTTCTCTGGTTACTTAGCAATGGAGAAATCCTCCTCCCCTGTTTCTAGGTAACAGGGTCTCTTCCAGTCGCCTAGCAACAGAAGACTCCCCTCCCCTATCAAACAACGGGGTTCTCTTCTCCCATCACTCGGCAACAGGGTCCCCTCCCCGGACACCAAGGAACAGAGCCCTTTCCCCGACCCGTACCCCAACCACGGCGCTCGCCCGTTGCCTGGCAACGCCCCTCACCCCGCCTGCCTCTCTGCTCCCCGAAACCAGGGGCTCCCGCATCCCCCTGGGCGGCGGCTGTGGGTTCCGAGTGCGGGGCGGGCAGCACGACGCTGACTGGGCGGCCGCGACACACACAGCTCCCGGCGGCCCCCGCGTGCCCCGACTACAGCTTCCGGCGGCCCCCGCGAAGGCGCTTTGCCCCTCACGCAACTTCCGGGCAGCTTGGCCCGGAAGTCCACTGCCGCCCCGAGAACGCGGAGCTGCAATGCCATTCCCGCCGTGAATCCCGGAAATATGCGGTGCAGAGGCCCGCCCCTTCGCGCACGGCCGCGCCCCCTGGTGCTCAGAGGATTCTGGGAAATGTAGTGGGTAGGCTCTCGCGATAGCTTCCGGGAGTGTAGCTCCCGCGAGTGCTCCTCCCCTGTGATGGCGCCAATGCTAGTGTGAGATCGCCGCGTGACGTCACAGGACGGCAGCAAGGGACCGGAGACATCAGGGCTTGTAGGGAGAAGAGTCTCCAATATTTACTGAGCCAGGAGGAAGGGCCGGGGTAACCGAGGCCAGGGCAGCAGCGGGCTGGTAGTGGGGGGCCGTAAATGAGACGAAGATGTCCACTAGGGAAGGAGGCGGCGTCTCAGCAGAGATGGATCCCCGGCCTGGAGGGGAGCTGGCAGCAGCCTGCGGGGGAGATATAGGGACTAAAAGGCTGGGGCAGAGAGATGAGGAGGGGCAGACACCTGGGGGCAGGGACAGACCAGGGTGGGGGTGGAGGAAGATCTAGAGAGAGGGACTGAGACCGAAAGGGGGACAGAGACCTGGGGGATGAACAGAGACACGCAGCGAGAGAGGTGGTAGGGTCCCAGCGAGAGGGGGACACAAACTCAGAGAAAGGAGGCTTGGACAGAGATAGATACATAAGGATTCAAAGTCGTGGACTAGAAGGTGGAGACACAGAAATAAAGATCAGTCAGCAGAGACCGAATCAGATCTGCAGAACCAGGCAGAGGCGGAGACCCAAGCTCCGCAGAGCACGGGGCGGGCAGGGCTTGGGGAGGGGGCCGCACCCAGGAGGCTGCGCCAGAACGCGGTAACGGTGGCAGAGCCCGTGACCGCGCCTGGCTCTGCGGGGTTCTCCCTGTGGGTGTGCACGGCGAAGCTTCGTCCTGTGGGGCCCGGGGGGCCAGTCAGCTCCACGTCCACCACGTGCATGTCTGCGAGGCTGGGGCAGGCAGGGCGGTCAGTGTGGCTGGCCCGGCCCCAGCCCGAACCCCAACCCCCACACCTTAGCTCACCTGAGGTCCGCCACAAGCACTCCGACCACGCGGTCAAAGCCCAGGCTGGGGGCAGCCAGGGCAGCGGCCGCCATGGTATTGGAGTTGCGGGGGGCGAAGGGGCAGAGCCCGCGGACGGGACCTTCATAGAGCACCGTGCGATGCTCAGTGCTGCGCACTGCAGCCAGCGGTCCCTCAAGCCGGAAACCATCGGGGTGCGTGGCCATGGTGACACGAAGACTCTGGAAGTGACAGCCAGGGTGAGGGGATCGGGGGTCTCTGGAGGACCCCCTCTGCATCGCCGGGGAGCCCAGCGGGCCCTCACCTGGAGGCCCCCAGCTGCGTCCAATCTGGTGATGTCCTCAGTGCCCCACAGGGCCCCCCGGGCCACAAACGCAGCATGGTCCCAGCGGTGCGAGGCCTCCAGGAGCCGCTGCTCTGTGGCCTGATCAGCCAGGGCTGAGGGGGACCCCACCTGGGGCGGATGGAGGGGAGGGGGTCTGAGGTCAGGGGATGGATGCCACTTCGGGGTGACGTGGGGCCAAGGCAGACTGGGCAGGGCTCACCAGGAGATTGGCGTGACGCAGGATTTGTGCCCCAGATTCCTGGATTATTTGGGGATGGGCCACTTCCACTACAAGGTCGGGGTGCCTGGGAGAAGGGAGAGATGGGGGAGGGTCTTGGAGAGGTGTCGGACCTCTCCTCCTCGGATTCCCTCAGAGTCTCTGGAGGCCTGTCCCTCTTCACCCTGGCCTGAGAGGGGAAGCAGAATGGACAGGCTTGTCCCGCTTCTGGTTTGGCCCAGAGAGAGTGAGAGACTGGCCTGCGATCACAGCACCTAAGGGAGGCCAGGACAGGAGCTCCAGGGAGCCCCACTCATGGTGAGATCACTGACCTCTCCCCGAGGGCAGCGAGGTTTTGGAGCTGCAGGGAAGGAGGCACGCTCCCTGCCATTCGTCCCGGGTCGCGATTCCAGACAAAAACAAGTTCGAGGCCCAGTTCTGGTCCCTGAGTCAGCAGGTGAGAAACAAGGGACTGTCCTGGGGAGAGGGAGGGAGACCAGAGAGAGGGGACTGGGACCCAGAGGGAGGGGGACAGAGAGAGGGGACAGAGACCCAGAGGGAGGGGGACAAGGACAAGGACAGGAGGGAGGGAGAGAGAGACCCAGGGAGCGAATGCCAGAGATGAGGGAGGGGGTGCATGGACGCAGGGGGCGGGCGGGGGGGCACACAAAAACTTGGGTGGAGGACAGAGAAGCCGGAAGGCGGGACAGGCGGAGCGGACACCGAAAGAGGGGAGGGGGCCCCGTGGGGTCGGGGGAGTGGAAGATACTTAGACAGACACAGGCAGAGCCGGGGCACAAAGACACGGACGAAGGTGTGTTTGTGGAGGGCACCGGGTTTTGGGGGCTTCAGAAAGAGGCCCGGGAAGGGGCCCAGAGGGTCAGTGACTCACCAAGGCGGCCGTAGCCCACCACCCCGACTCTCCTCGGGACCCTGTCAGAAGCCATGACCCTGAATCTGAGCTCTGGCAGCTGCTCACCGCCCCTGTCCCCTCCAGGCCTGGGCAGTGGCTGATCTTTGGACATTGGACCCTTGATCCTCTCCAGAACCTTCCCCTCTCCCCACAGTGACCCGGCGGCGGCGGCG